CCCTGCCCTCTGTGTCGGGACCACCCTGCCCTCTGTGTCGGGACCACCCCCCCCTCTGTGTCGGGACAACCCTGCCCTCTGTGTCGGGACTACCCTCCCCTCTGCTGAACAGATGAGAGGGCAGCAGAGTGGGAAGCTTGGATCCCAGGGGGTCCTGGGGTTGAGTACTCAGGCCTGTCATTTGCTGGACTTGCCCTGCTGACAGCCCTGCTACCTCACTCCAATGCCATTTCCCCTCTATGTGGCACTATTTCCTCCCTCTCTTTTTCCCCAAACTCAAAACACCTAGAGATGCATCACAGCACCTTCTCTGCACCCCTGTAACACCCAAGCATGAAGCTCAGAGCTCTTCCTTCCATTTCCTTCCCAAATAAGGATTAGGAAGACCATTGGGTGGCCCCCAGCCAGCCCTGCTCAGCCTCCTTCCCCACCCTGGGACAGGACGGCACACATTGTCTTGGAGGACTGTGATGCTTCAGGGCTTACAGACAAATTTCTGCTGCCTTCCCTCTCCCTCCCCTGTAGCCCCTACCAACCCTGCCAAGGTCAGAGCTCTATAGAGCATCTTCAGGAGGCGGTTGCCACGGAGACTGGAAATTGGTCCCAGGGACAGGCTGTGCTACCTACGGGGTGGTGGGGAGGAGGGAAGCTCAGACTGTCATTAATGTTAATAGAGGAAATGCAGCCAGTTAATTCGATCTGGGGCCCGATGACCTCCCTCTTCCAGGGCTGCAGCCCTTGTGATTTCCCGCAGCAGGAAGCCCTGCCTATGTGCTGAGTCTGGGCTGCTTGCTTAATTGCATCTGTGGAAGGGAAGGCGAGCAGGGATGGAGCATCTCTGCTTACTCCCTGCCACCCCCCGCCACCCCCTGCACACACACAGGTGGGGTTAATTTCTTCTGACTGGGTGGGGGCAGCCATCTGGGGGGTTCTGCTGGAGGTGGTATTCAAGAATCTGTTCTTGGCTCTTAGCAAAAGAGGTGTCCCACAATGCTTATATCCCCTTGTGTCATTCGTATTTCTCAGCCTTCTTCCCATCTCTTCCCACTAATTTGGCCACACTGGGGACAAACGGTCCCTCTGTCTCTTCTGCTTTCCAAGGATGGGAGGAGAATTCCTTGCCCGCTTTCTCCTCTTCATCCATGCCCAGGTTGGCAAATACTTCTCTGGGGACAGGGCCACCCAGGTTCATGTAGCTTTGAACTATCAGGTTTTGTTGCTTGGAAGGGGCTGCAGGTGAATATGGGTGTCCGCTCCCAGGAATCGGCAAAAATGTGATGTGTTCCACAAACTTGCGGGTGGACCAAGAAGACATTTGTCGGTCAGTTCACCCTCCAGCCAGCTGCTTGAGCACACTTTATTTAAAAAAAAAAAATTCCAGAGATGATCAGAAACCATTTCGTTTTGTAATAAATAGCTCTTGTTTTGAATTCCATGTTGTTTTTGTACTTTATTGAATCTGACTTGTTCTCTAGCTCCCAGAAAGGCCTCCCTGAGAAGAGAAGAATGTTTTGAGTGAAGAACCATCCCATTGTGTCTGAGGTCATTCTAATGGCCAGAGACCCTGGGCTGGCCAGGTGAGTCTGATTGTCCAGGGGACACTTGGGCTTGCCCACGTACTTGGACAATGCCAGTTACATATCAGTTTACTTAAACTTGTTCCAAACCAAACCAAACCCACTGCTGTCAATTCTGACTTATAGCTAGCTACTCTATAAGACTGGAGTCCTGGTGTGGCACTGTAGAATAAGCTCTGGACTGCTAATCACAAGGTTGGCAGTTCAAACCCACCAGCTACTCCTTGGAAATCCTATATAAGTTTGCTATGAGTCACAACTGAATTGAAGGTATGCGTAGTGGTTACGAATCGGGCTGCGAACCTTAAGGTCAACGGTTCGAAACTACCAGCCGCTCCGCGGGAGAAAGATGAGGCTTTCTACTCCCGTAAAGATTTACACCCTCGGAAACCCTGTACAGGGTCGCTATGGGTCGGACCCGACTCGATGGCACTTAACAACAACAACAACAACAACATAGGGCAGAGTGTGGCACTGTAGAAAAAACACTGTACAGGTAGGGTGGCAGTTCAAACCCAGCAGGTTCAAACAGGCAAGGGTCAAATACCCCTTGCAAACCCCATACACGAACGCCATTCACTTAACAACACAGGACAGAGTAGAACTGCCCCATAGGGTTTCCAAGGCTGTGAGTCTTTATGGAAGCAGGTCGTCATAACTTTCTCGATGGAGTGGCTAGAGGGTTTAAACTGCCAACCTCTTCTTTAGCAACCAAATGCTTTAACAGCTGCATCACCAGGGCTCTTTTATTCTAAAATAATATTTTTTAAATTTTCTCATGTAACTTCCCCAAACAATATAGGAAGAAGCAAGAGGTTGTAACCGAGATGTTCACTTCTGAAGCAGCTGAGAGGTCCAGCTGGGACCTTTGTTATCTGGACTGATGCCAAGGGTCCTCGTGAGGGGGATAGCACTGCACAGTTCAGCCATGTCTGCTGGGCTGTCTACACCCCTAAGGGACTCAGTGTAGCTGCGGGTCATTAGGATCCTGTGATGGGAAATGCTGAGGACAGGCAGGTTGGAAAAGTACTAAATATATCTTTTGAATGGCACTGTTCAGTTTACAAAGCCCCTATTCATCTGTGACATTTCATTTTCATGAAGGTTCAGTGAAGTCAATAATGTTTTTGTCTTCCTTTTAGGCAAGTTTAAATTGTTTGCCTCAAGACTCACTATCAATAAATAAGAGGGCCAGGAATCAACTCCATGCTCAGCTTTTTCAGCTTCTTCCCGGTGCTGGGACTCAGAATAACCTGGCAGTCCTGTATCCTCTGAGGAGAAGGTCTTGAGATCTAGCAGGTTCCTTTGTACATTCTACTCAAAGAAACTGCTCATCTAGAACCTAGTTTTTCCTGGTTCCCACAGGTGCTGTGCTGGAAGATGTTTAACAATAGGTTTCCCAGGAGAATAAAAGCCCAAATTTGTAGCATTTGCCAATTCCCATAGTGTAAAGACTCCCACCATGGCCTATTCATGCTGCCAACTTGATGTCACTCAGTGGTGAATAGCAAAGAGGTGCCCACAATAGGCTCTTACAATCATCTAAAAGCTGGTCCCCATACACTACTAACCCCCACCTTGTACTTGATAACCTTGGTTTTGTCTGAATTGTGGACACAGCTCTTGACAGTCCAATCGAGTGAGGGAGGCATTGGAGCATGATGACCCAGGGCTTGGGCCAGAGAGTCAGACCTGAGGTAGAAGCCTGCCCCCACCACGTATAGCCCAGCTATATGAACCTTGGTCTAGTTACTTATCCTCGGTGTGTTTCCTCATCTATAAAACAGGAGCATAACTAGTACCTACTTCATAGAGTCATGAAGACGAAAAGAGTTAATGATACAAAGGGCCTTCATAACTATAAAGAAGCTACTACTTATGTTATCTAATAAATGTTAGCTCTATTTTATCACTATTTTTTTTCAACTTTTGTGTGTAAATTGGGTGCAGGTTTACAGAGAGGATCAGTGTTCCATTCAATTCACACACATTTTGTCTCATTATTTTATTATGTCATTATAATTATTGATGATAAATTTGGCCACAAAGCAGCTCCAACTCTGGACTGAACTTGAACTTTTTCCTAGGTTAGAACCTCCTGCTAAGCCCTATGTAGCTGCCAGTCTGGGAGGGGAGCTCCTGGAACTCCCTTAGTCCCTCAAATGTGGACTCAGACCCTGGGGCCACTTGCTGGAAACCACCCTGGCTGCTTAGGCCCAGCCAGACTCTGGCCTTTTCTCAAGGGAATCAGAGATTTGAGTGCACTCAGCTGTCTGTCCTGCATCCTCCTGCCTCCTCCTGGCTCTGGAAAGGCAAAGATCATGGGTTTGAGTGCTGATTCTGACATGAGCTAAGGCCATTAACTCCTGTTAATTTGTAAGATCCCATCCAAAGGAGAAAGGAGGTCAGATGGGTTCCCAGACTGTGGACAAGAAGAACAGCTGGTGGAATGGGAGGCCTTAGACTAACCAGTCATTTGCAGGAGTCCTGGACATCTGGTCACTGAAGAGTAAAGGGCACCAGAGACACATGTGGCCTTCCTCTGTGACCTGGTTGCAGGGTCATAGTATACCAAATTCGAAGTTTAGTCCCCAAATGCATTGGTCAACTCCACTGTCTCTACCTTTGTGCTCCTTCTTGGGGGTCTCTGGGACTCCAGGACACAGGTTTCGCAAGGCTGCTGTCTAATTCAGCTCAGAACAACCCCCAGATATGTGTGGAGATGGGAGGATGGGGTAGACTTCAAACTCCTGAGCCCTTGGGAGAGGGGTGGTGGTGGTGGTTATGTGCCTTAGAGTCAGTTCTGACTCATTGTGATCTTGTACCGGGTTTCCAAGGCTGTAAATCTTTACAGGAGCAGAAAACCTTATCTTTCTCCCATGAAACAGCTGGTAGTTTTGAACTGCTGACCTTCAGGTTCGTAGCCCAAGGGGTAACAGATAGATAGTCTCATTGGGCCTGCCAGGGAATAGGAGGGAGGAGTTCTGTGCCTCTAGTTCTAATTCAGGGCCAGGAGAAGGTATAGCTCCGGGCAGGAGTCACAGCCTGCTCAGAACCTATGGCCCAAGAACACCCCACCTTGCATCCCAAGAATCAAAAGAGATTGATTCTGGAAGGCCCCTTGAGAGACCACACTGCTCAACCCCTTAGTATTCAGCTGAGGAAACTGAGGCACAAAGAAGTGAACAGACGGAGAGGAGACAGGCTCAGAGACTCAAAAATAATTGGGTCATAAGAACGAGGCTGGAGTCTGAGGAATTTTCATGCTTGAAATAGAAAAGTTTAAGTCTCATGAGTTACCAACCACAAGCATGATGGCAAGTATGAGACCTTAAGTAATACTGTTATTTAAAAAAAAAAAAAAGTCAACTAAAATGGAATAGTCAAATGCTAGACCCTAATGCCCTCAATTTCCAAGTAAGAAGACAGGCCCCCAAAGTCCCACCCAGGCCAAGCCACGCTGGGATTAGGACTGGAGTCTTCAGATTTCCAGTGAATCTCCAAAAAGCCAGGCTGTATGGAAACGATTGTCCCCAAGACTAAGAGCTCTGCTGGCCTGTGCTGCGGTCAGACCCCAGTCAGAGTTAGGGTAGAAGTTACTCAAACTGTTCCACAGGGAGGTTCCTGAAGTCTACCACTGCTTACCTCAGGGCTGAAGAAAGCAGAAAGGGATCCAGAGCTATGTTTGGGAGGGGCTGGTAGAACTGAAGCAGCTCACAGCCTGCAGTAGAATGATTCTGACTCAAAGTAGAATTGCTCCATTGTTGTTGTTATTGTGAAGTGCGTCGAGTCGGTTCCGACCCATAACCCTGTATAGGGTTTCCAAGGAGCACCTGGTGAGCTTGAACCACCGACCTTGCAGTTCAAATGGCTTTGTAGTCTGGCACATTAACCCACAGCATCACATTAGGACTCCATTGTTCTTGTTAGGTGCCATCGAGTCAGTACTGATTCATAGTGACCCTATGCACAACAGAACGAAACACTGTGGGATCCTGGGCCAACCTCACAATTGTTGCCACGCTTGAGTCCATTGATGTTGCCACTTGGCCAGTCCATCTCGCTGGGGGGTCTTCCTCTTTTTCTCTGACCCTCCACCTTACCAAACATGATATCATCTGGAAGCTATGCCACCGGTATTTTAGATACCAGAAGGGTCACCCATGGTGGACAGGTTTCAAATGAGCTTCCAGACAAGACAGACTAGGAAGAAGGAGTGACAAACTACTTCCAAGTATTTAGTCACTGAAAACCTTATGGAATAGCAGAGAAACACTGTCAGGACTCCATTGTTGTTGTTAAGTGCCACGGAGTCAGAGCTATCATGTATAGGGTTTCTGATTATACCTATAGGGTTTGCAGTCTGGCTCATCAATCCACAGCGTCACACCAGGACTCTGTCCTCCATTGTTGTTGTTAAGTGAGTCAAGTCGATTCCGACCCATAGCAACCCTGTATAGGGTTTTCAAGAAGCAGCTAGTGAGCTTGAACCACTGACTTTGCGGTTCAAACGACTGCAGTCTGACGCATTAGCCCACAGCACCACCGTAAATGTTTATGGAAGCAGTCTCATCTTTGTCTCAGAGTGGTTGGTAGGTTTGAACCACTGATCATGTAGTTAGCAGCTCAAAGCTTAACCAGCGGCACTACCAGGGATGCTGGGGCTGGTGGTCAAATTCAACAGTTTCAGGGCTCTAGACCCTTGTGGTGGAATCAACTCATAGTGACCCTATCGGAAACAGTAGAACTGATGCAGAATTACCCAAACTAAATTTTTACGAAGCAGACTGCCACATCTTTCTCCCAAGGAGTGGCTGGTGGGCGCTTTTCCATTGCTCCACCAGAACTCTCTTTTAGCCCAAGTTGAATAGTAATATCACCACTATTCACACGAGAAATTGGGGCCAGAGGGGCTGGTGGAGTTCAGTTAAGCTCTGAAGCCGGGCAACTTCCCATGCCAGCCGGTCGTTTGGGGACTGAGCGGACCGACGGCGGAAAGCTTGCGAGCATTGATGGACCGGAGGAGGCGGGGGCCACAGTCGCTTTAAAGCTCGCAGCCCGGCGGCGAGGGGCGGGGCCGCTGGGGGAGCTGCAGGGCGAAGGACGCAGCTGCTGGTGTTGGGTCCCCGAAAGCGCCAGCAGGACGGGTGCAGCGGGGGCGCCTTGCATATCTCCTGGCACTGCGCGTCTTCGCGCCGCTCGGGTCAAGGAAGGAGCGGTCGCTGACCCCCGCCCGGCGAAGGCCGAGTCGCCGAGTCGCGGCACGAGTCGCCGAGGAGCACGAGTCGCCGAGGAGATGGCGCTGCACGTGCAGTGACGGCCTCCGCGCCCCGAGGGTCCCAGGAGCGCGCCCTGTGCCCCGGTGAGCATGCAGTGCCCGGAGCCCGAGCTGATCCGGCAGAGCTGGAGCGTGGTGAGCCGCAGCCCCCTGGAGCACGGCACCGTCCTGTTCGCCAGGTGAGGCGGCCGGAGCGCGGGAGCAGGAAAGAGGGCCTGACAGGATGGGCTCGGGACGGCGGCCGGCTAGAGGAGGGAAACCGGCTGCCGCCAGTTGTGCGCCAGAGACGCGAACTGTGGCGCAGCCCTTTCCTTGTGCCATTCCTCCAGCCGTGAGCCGCGGGGGCGACCGGGGCCTCGCTGTTGAAGTTCCTTACACTGGGTGGGCTGCGTCCCCAGGCTGGCTTTGCACTTCCTGTAGGGTCTTTAGGTGATGATTGCAGGGCGCCCACCGTTGCCGGGTTCGGGGAGACTGAGGTGCTCCCAGGGCCTGTGCGGGCAAGTGTGCCGGGAGCTCCCGGGTGTATGTCAGCGCTCAGAGTCCGTGCCCTACGAGTGCGCACTCCCAGCAATGAACAGAAGGATAAACCCTACTAAGGACCGGACCAGAGAACCTCAGGAAAGGGGTGACAGATAAGACCCAAGTCTTATCAATGAACCGGCTGGGGGTATACAGACCCCATAGGGAAGAGAAGGCCAGTCTGGACCTCTCAACTCCTGTGCCCTCGCCAGGGGGGCAACGCTCCCTTCCTCTTCTCGGATGTTCAGGATCCCCGGTACCCTAAGTGAGCCCCAAACCTCCCACTTGTTGTTGTTAAGTGCCGTAGACTCGGTTTCAACCCACAGCGACCTTGTATAGGGTTTCCAAGGAGTGGCTGGTGAGCTTGAACCGCCGACTTTGAAGTTCTAACCAACTTTGCAGTCCAGCGCATTGATCCACAGCACCACATCAGGACTCCACTAAGTTTTTGTAAAGCATCCCATAAGACAGAGGGAGATAAACCCACAGATTTACTCAAAACCATCTTGTGCCTTCCAAATGTGACAGATTCAGCACTCAGGAAATGTAAGGAATTCATCCTTCATCTCTTACTGCCAGTAGTAATAACTGGAGACACAGGAGACTGGGGTAAGTTCTGGCCCTAAAGTAGGAAGCTAGGGATAGAAAAGGGGTTGGGGGCTGGGAAAGAAGAGAGAGAAGGATTTTTCTTCCCCCATAGTCGAACTTCAGATTTCCTGCCCCAGTCAACTCCCTTCAATTAATTATGGAGTGGCTACAATATGTTGGAGGAGAATATTGAACGTGCCATGGGCTGCCAAAAGAACCAACAGATCTGTGTTGGAAGAAGTGTAGCCAGGGTGCTTCTTGGAGGCCAGGATATCCAAAGTTCGTCTCTCATACTTCGGACATATTGTTAGGAGGGACCAGTTGCTGGAGAAGGATATCATGTTTGGTAAGGTGGAGGGTCAGAGAAAAAGAGGAAGACCCCCCGTGAGATGGATTGGCAAAGTGGCAGCATCAATGGGCTCAAGAGTGGCAACAATTGTGAGGTTGGCCCAGGATCAGGCAGTGTTTCATTCTGTTGTGCATAGGGTGACTATGAGTCGGTACCGATTCGATGGCACCTAACAACAACAACTATATGCCAGGGAGTTCTGGTGTGGCACTGTGGGTTAATGCACTGGACTGCAAAGTCAGTTTGAACCTCAAAGTCGGCGATTCAAGCTCACCAGCTACTCCTTGGAAACCCTATACAGGGTCATTATGGGTCGGAACTGACTGGATGGCACTTAACAACAACAACTATGTGCCAGAGGACTCCTGGTGTGGCGCTGTAGAATCAGCACTGAGCTGTGAACCACAAGGTTGGCAGTTCAGACCCACTAGAGGCTCCTCGGAAACCCCATACAGGGTAGCTATGAGTCAGAACCGACTCCACAGTACTTCACAGCAGCTATATGCCGGAAGGATCCCTGGTGGCACAACAGGTATGCACTTGGCTGCTAACCAGTTTGGTGGTTCTAAGCCACCCTGTGGCTCTGCAGGAAAAAGACCTGGTGATTTGCTGCTGTAAAGATTGTTGTTGTTGTCAAGCTGTCGACCTTGAGGTTCAAACTGACTTTGCAGTCCAGCACATTAACCCACAGTGCCGATTATAGCCTAGGAACCCCTATGGGGAGAGTTCTGTTCTGTTATATTGGGTCATTATGAGTCGGAATTGATTTGATGACACTCCTGGTGTTGCACTGTAGGATAAGCCCTGGACTGCTTGCTAACCACAAGTTCAGATGTTCAAACCCACCACTGGATCCTTGGAAATCCTACACAGGGTTGCTATGAGTCAGAACTGATTTGACAGCACTAACTATATGCCAGGTACTGCTGAGAAACCAGGTTACTACCCTAAAGAGCTCTGGTAGCGTAGTGGTTACGAATCGGGCTGCGAACCACAGGGTCAGCAGTTCGAAACTACCAGCTGCTCTGTGGGAGAAAGATGAGGCTTTCTGCTCCCGTAAAGATTTACAGCCTCGGAAACCCTGTACAGGGTCGCTGTGGGTCAGAACCGGCTCGACGACACTTAACAACAACCCTAAGGAATGGGGAGGAGATAGCAACAGAGCTGGCAAAGGACCCGTGCCAAGTTCGAGGATGCGCCAAAGCTCTGGCTCAGCCCTGACTCCCACTATTGGACAACAAGGCTTGCAGGAGCTTCCTGGGGCTTTTGGGGACTGACACCTGGGCCTCCCTCCACAGGCTATTTGACCTGGAGCCTGACCTGCTGCCTCTCTTCCAGTACAACTGCCGCCAGTTCTCCAGCGTAGAGGACTGTCTGTCCTCCCCAGAGTTCCTGGACCACATCAGGAAGGTGAGGCCATGATGGGCATGTCTTCTGGGGCCTGGGCAAGGAGAGGGTCCCGGAGGCAGGAAATTACTTCAGCTGTCAGCTTTCCACCTGGAGACCTGGTCTTCCTTGCCTCCTTCTCTAATCTGTGCCCCGCCAACTGCTCCCAGTCTGCCATTGCCCTCAGCCAGGTTCCCATAATTAGTGTTGATGTTGATCCTGGCCATTAGGGGCCCTCTGCCTATGAAGACTAGGCTAGGGTTTTCTTAGAGGCTCAGCACTCTCAGTGGGCTTGTTGAGGTGCTGAGATTTTCAGAGGAGAGGGGCTTCTGTCATGGGTATAAATGTAGTAGTTTGGTCATCACATGCTGAGTACCTGCTGCATACTACAAGGTTGCCTTCCATCTCTGATCCTGGGAAATGAGGGTTCTGGTGACCTCACATGCCACTGGTTGGGGCCCCAGGTCTGGGCTGTGGTGAGTGGGCAGGGTCTCCCTGGCCTCTCGGTTTCACTGCTGTCTTGGCCTTGGCAGGTGATGCTGGTGATTGATGCGGCAGTGACCAACGTGGAGGACCTGTCCTCATTGGAGGAGTACCTTGCTGGCCTGGGCAGGAAGCACCAGGTGGTGGGTGTGAAGCTCAGCTCCTTCTCGGTGGGTAAAGGGGTTCTTCTCCTCTCTAGAGCTTCCAGCTTGAGGTCATCACTCTTCCTGTCCACTTGTACCCACCCGTACTCTCTCCTACTCCCGTGCCCTCGGATGACCAGGGCTGGGCACATCTGTTACTTACCTGCTCTGAGACCCTGACCCTTGCACTCTGAGACTCCATTTGTGTCTTCTCTGAGCTTGCTTCCCATAGAATTACAGAAGTTACAGAATCTTTGAAATTAGCTGGTCTGATCTGTGTAACAAACCACCCAAAAATGTACTGGCTTAAAACAACAACTTCTGATTTCTCATGGCTGTGCTCAGCTGAATGGTTCTTTTGTTCCATCTGGTGTAGCTGGAGCTGGGGTCATTTATTGACTGCATTCAGCTGGGAGCTCAACTGGGACTGGAATGTCCAAGATGGCCTTCAAGGTGTCTCTCCATGTAGCCTCTGGTCATTCAGTAGTCTGGCTGAACTTCTTTACAGAATAGCAGCTGAGTTCTAAGAGGGAGTATTCTGAGAAGACAAGCCCCAGCATGCAAGTCCCTACCAAGCCTCTGTTTGCACAACTCTTGGTAATGTCCCATTGGCCAAAGTAAGTCACAAGAAGGAGACCGATGTCAGTGTGGAAGGACCATACTCAAGAAGGTGACATCCAAGAGGAGTGGTTTGTTGAGGGCCACCGGCATGACTCTACCACCATCTAGTCACCTTGCCAGTGAGCTCCTTGAGGAGACTGTGTTTGTCTTGTCCTTTCCATCCCCAAATGCTAGCACAGTGCCTGACTCTTGGTGGAGATTCAGCAAATATTTGTATACTAAATGAACCTTGTAGTCCTGGTGTGGCGCTGTTGAGTTAATGCACCAAACTGCAAAGCTGTTTGAACTGCAATGTTGGCGGTTCAAGCTCACCAGCTGCTCCTTGGAAACCCTTTCCAGGGTTTCTATGGGTCAGAACCAACTCGATGGTACTTAACCATAACAATAAATGAGCCTTATTTGGTTATGATCAATATTAGCAAAAGGAGCTCTGGTAGGGTAGTGGTTACCAATTGGGCTGTAAACCGCAAGGTCAGCAGTTCGAAACTACCAGCTGTTCCGCTGGAGAAAGATGAGGCATTCTGCCCCCATAAAGATTTACAGCCTCGGAAACCCTGTACAGGGTTGCTATGAGTGGGAACTGACTGCACGGCACGCAGCCACCACCACCAATATTAGCAAATGAGAGTCAGTATTATTGTTGAAATCGTCCTATGTGCAGATGTGGTGTTAATAGTTTCCTATGAATTACCCCATTTAATCACCCAGTGGCACTGTAGGATAAGCACTGGACTGCTAACTGAAAGCTTGGCAGTTCAAGCCCACCAGCTGCACCTTGCAAACCCTATACAGGATCGCTATAAGTTGAAACCGATTTGAAGGCACTTAGCAATGAAAACAACAATAATCCCTGAGTTGTAACTTTTGCTTGTCCTGTTTCACTGATGAAGGAACTGAGGATCAGAGAGGTTAAATAACTTGTTCAAGGTCACATAGTTCATAAATAGTAGAGTCAGACTTGAGCTCAAGTCTATGTGACTTCAGAGCCTAGGCTCTCAACCACCTTGCAGAGGGGGAAACTGAGACCCAGGGCAATGACTCGCTGTGTCTGAACTCAGGTTCCCAAACAGGGTCTCAGTCCACTCATGGGATGGTTGTGAGGATGGATATAGTGGGGCGCCCAAGGATGAGTGCAAATCCTTGCATAGACAACCTAGATCATGTGCAGGAAAGGAGAAATACTGCCGACTAGCCCCAGGTGTCGTTTTCTCACCTGTGGAATGGATCAATGTTTCCTGCCTGTCTTGGGAGTGATGGACTGCACTTTGCTCTTGCAGACTGTGGGAGAGTCCCTGCTCTACATGCTGGAGAAATGCTTGGGTCCTGCCTTCACACCAGCCACACGGGCTGCCTGGAGCCAGCTCTACGGGACCGTGGTGCAGGCCATGAGTCGAGGCTGGGATGGCGAGTAAGAGTCGATTCTGCCTGTCGGCTGCCATGTTGACAGATGTCCGTGTGTCTGTTGGTCTATATCCACTGTAACCTAGCTCCCTCAGGGGTCCCTGCATCTCCATCCCTGCCCCTTGAACCATCTTGGAGAGGTAGAGAAGGGCTGGGACCTCTCCCAGCTGCAGACAGGGTGGCTTTTCCTTCAGAAGGGACCCCGTCACTCCACTAGCCCCTTCCCTGCTTGCCTTCTCCCCCTGACACCCCTCCCCAAAAAGGGGGGGGCAGGGTCTTGGTGGAAGAGGTAGCATGGGACAGGTAGGCATGGCATTCTGTTCTGTCGTGCACCTCTTCTCAGGTGAGCCTGGGCCAATCTGGGGGTGGGGAAATGTCTGAGCTTCTGGCAACTTCCTATCTGTGCCTGTTAATGCTTCCCTACCCCAGGGTATTTGTTGTAAATGAAAAGGAACAGCTTTAGCCTTTATTGGTGGGCTGGCTCCAGGTGGTGGATGCTGGGCAACCAGAACTGCAAAAAGGGGGAGGTGATTTGATCTGTGAAGGAGCGGGTCCTGATCTGGGGGGTGTGGGGTTGTGCAGGGGTGCTTCTCAGATGACACCTGACAGAGGAGGTAATTTTGTGTTTTTTTGCAGTATTGTCTGTTGTTCATTCAGCACTTCTTGTGGGAGAGCTCTTATTAGTGTTCTGTAGGGTCCCAGCTGACGCCCTTAGGTGGTACAAACAGTTAATGCATTTGGCTGCGGACTGAAATGTTGGTGATTCAAGTCCACTCAGAAGCACCTTGGAAGAAAGGCCTGGTGATCTACTTCCAAAAAAAAAAAAAATCAACCATTAAAAACCCAATGGATCGTGGTTCTACTCTGACACACGAGTTGGAATTGACTCGATGACAAGTAGTTTTTACTGGTTAGAGCCCAAGCTAGCCAGTGAGGGATGGTGGGGGAGGGTAAGGGAGGCGACTCTTTCTCATCCACCCTCACTCAGGCCTGGGTGGAGTCTTGTCTCCCCTGACCCATTGCCCACATGGCTGTACTTTGGTTGTAAGAGATACCCTCTACCTCCCTGCACCATCCACACCTTTACCTTTGCTCTGTGCTGTAGTTGTGTAAATTCATGAGGAATAAATCTGGTTGGTGTGCCTCTCTGAACCTCTGGGGCTATTTCTTGGGTGTTGGCCAGCTGGAGTTGCAGGGCAGTGTGGGTCCCAGGGTAAGGCGGGAGGATGGGATCAGGAGAGCCAAAGCAAGAACAGAAAGGAGAGGCCTGGGGAATGCCAAAAGCCAGTGACAGGACACAGCTAGGGGCCCGCAGCAGAAACTGATCAACAGATCACCAGATCCAGATCCAGTTTCTCTCGGCACAAAGCTGGACTACATTTTCCAGCTTCCCTTGCAATTAGGTGGGGCTATGTGACTGAGTTCCAGCCAGGACCCCCCAAAGTCCTGCATGGTCCTTCACGCTCATTTTCTTTCCCCCAACCTGATGCCTCAAGGCCATGTGTTGAATGCAGCAGAGCCACAGGTGGAAGGGGCCTGGGGTCCTGACACTGCTGGTATCATCCATTGTGAATTTTACGTGAAATAGACATAAACCTATTGTGTTTGTGCTATTAAACATGTGAGGGCTTGTTTGTTACAGCAGCTAGCTTCACCTGTACTGATCCAGAAACCAAAGGCATTCATTGGTCAGAGGGCCTGGGAGCTACAGGCTGGCGGACATAATAAGCTCAGGAATTAGCAATGAGCCAGGTGTCCTGGAAGCAGTAGTGGGCAGTAATGACTTGTAGTATCTCCAAGGAAACCTAGACCCTCCTTGGAGGGGCAAGTGCCAACCCCTGGGAGTGCCTTTTAGGGAGAACTTAAATGGTTTAATCTTGGGTACAAATTGGAATTGAAGAGCAGGCATGAGTGTGTGTTTGTGCAGGGGTAGGTGGGGTAGAGAAACAGCTAGGGGGAGGAAGGGGGGCAAGCATAACAAGCAGGTTTGGGATCCCTGGCAACCAGCTTGCACTCACTCAGCACCCTAGAGGTTGGCAGTTTGAACCCGCCTAGTAGTGCTGCAGAGGAAAAGCTTGGTCATCTGCTTCCCTGCAGATCGCAGCCAAGATGATCCCATGGAGCAGTTCTATTCTGTAACTATTGTTGTGTCTTAGAATCAGCTTGTCAGCAGGGATTGGGTGGGATTTGGGGATTAACCCGAGCGCTGGAGCTAGGCCAGCTACCCTTCCCCCAGGCTTCACTTTTCTCAGCCAAGACCAGACATAAAGGGTGCCAGTAGACCTTGCTTAACTTAACTCCCTGCTAGGGCCTCAGTTCTGTTCAGCTCAGGGGGCCAGACTAGCCAGGTGTGCCGTGGCCGACACTAGAGCATGTTAGTGATGTGTTTGCTATGGCGGTATTCTCATCAGCAGTCGTATTCTCATCAGCCATACGTAGGCTGTGATATCCTACCAGCTCCACTTAGTGACCTATGGTCCCACTGCCTGAAGCCCACTCAACTCAGACACCATCCTTTGACGGTCATACCTTTCACTTGTAGGTGTGCATGTGTGTGTTTGCTTATGCGTGTGAGAATGTGAGTGCTGTATTCTCTCCCCTTCCTCTGCTCAAGGACTCAACCTTGTCATCCTTCCACCTCACCCCCATCACCCAGTTTATGCAAAGCCCAACCCCGTCTTCCTTCTTCCGCCACCACTGTTTTTGTACTTAACATCCACAGCAAAACTCTTCAGAGGAGCAGTCTTTGTCGCTGTTTTTGTCCCTTCACTTCCCATGAGAATGGGAAACCTGTTCCACACAGGGTCTGATCCCCGCCCAGAATCTCTTTATCACCTCGATCACCAGTGAGCTTCATTGACTGAGTTCTCATCTTGTTCTTCTGTTCAGCAGCATTGAAAAGGTTGACTACTCCTTTATCTTTAAGCTTTTTATGATGGAAAAACTTTAAGATACATAAAAATCTAGAGACTCATGTGTCCTGATGTGGTGCTGTAGGATAAGCACTGGACTGCAAGTTGGTTTGAACCACAAGGTCGGCAGTTCAAACTCACCAGCTGCTCCTTGGAAACCCTATACAGGGTTGCTATGAATTGGAACCAACTCAACGGCACTTCACATGTACCTTCTCACCCAACATCAATTTTGAGCAACTCAAGATTCACCTTTCCTATTTCCCCATCTAGTTGGAAAATTTTAAAGCAAATTGAAGACTTTGTGTCCTTTCACCCATAAATCCTTCCATGTACATTTCTAGTGGAGATACTTTCCCCCACATATAAACCTGTGTCATCATCTACCTAACAAGATGAACAGTATCCCCTTCAACAACACTTAATCCCCATTCTATATTCAGATGTTGCAAAGATAACTTTCTGCAGCTTGTTTGTTAAATCAGGATACTAACAAGATACACATTGTAGTTTTCATTCTATATCAGTGCCCTCCGTTTTCCTTCATGCTATTGATTGTTGTATTGTTGTTAAGTGCTGTTGAGTTACTTCCAATTCAAAATGACCCTATGTGGGGTTTCAGAGGAGTGGCTGATGGATTTGAACTGCCGACCTTGTAGTCTGGTGCTTTATCCTACAGCATCACACCAGGACTACAGGTCATTGATTAGGGGAGGAATTTGGATCCTTTGTCTGACAGTGTGACCAGCATTTTGGAATTGACGTATACTTCTCTGTGGTGACTCTGAACTTTCTCCTCTGTGCTATAAAAAGGAAGTTCCTAAGAAAGGCCAGGTGATCTACTTCTGAAAAAATCAGCCACTGAAACCCCTGAGGCTCACATTTCTAAAGGCAGACCCCAAGTTAATGAATGGACTTACCCTTCAATGTTACATAGTTTTGTCGGTGACTGTAAGATAAACTCTGGACTGCAAACCACGAGGTTGGCAGTTTGAGCCCACCAGCTGCTCTCTGAGAGAAAGATGACACTTTCTGCTTCTACAAAGATTTACAGTCTCGGAAACTCCATCACTATGAGTTGGTACCATTGTTGTTGCTTTGAAATGTTTGAACCAACCCCACTAGCAACAAATTCTTCCTCACAGTCATCTTCATTTGCTGTGTGCACAGCTTTTAAATCATGGCTTTGAGTCTTTTCTAGCATTAAAGTAAAGAGTGCTGGTGTGGCACTGTGGGTTAATGCACTGGCCTGCAAGGTCGGTTTGAACCACAAGGTTGGCGGTTCAAGCTCACCAGCCACTCCTCAGAAACCCAATACAGGGTCACTGTGACTCAGAACCAACTCAACAGCACTTAACAACCACCAAAAAAAGTAAGTTAAATAAAAACCATATGTACATGTTACAACTTACAGACAACTTTGACTTAAAGACACAGTTAGGAATGGATCTTGGTCGCAGCCCGATACTTGTATGCTGACACACATGGGGTCGACTCGATGACACTGATGGGACACTAGAGGTTGTGGTGGTTAGAGCTGGGTGCTCACACCTTCCTTTTTGAGCCTCTTCCTGTGGCTTCAAGACACCACACTTTCCTGGTCTTCCTTCTACCTCTAAAGCACTAGACAGCAAGGCTGTTTTGAATCACAAGGTCTGTGGTTCAAACTCACTAGTGGCTCCTTGGAAACCCTATATAGGGTTGCAGTGAGTCAGAACTGACTCTACAGCACTTAACAACTGTTGCAGACCGTGTAAGACTAGTCAGAGGTTCGAGGCCCTCTAGGCCGAG